CGGGTTCGTATCACCGCGTGGATGTTCATGCGTCGGGTGCAGCGCTCCAGGCTGCAACTTTCAGCTGGGAGCATTTAGCAGCCGACTACTCCGCTTCCCTTCATCATTTACATTAAATGTTGCTTTACAAATTCCCAGCTAACAATTTTTGTAACCAATCTCAGCATGCACACACTTCTATTCAATAATAAAAACGTCCTTTGGCCCCCAGACAACTTATTATCCGCAGCCCTGTGTACCTGACAGATAGAGAAAAACGAACGCGTTTGACCGATTCCCCGACCCCTCAACAATGGGCTTCTTTGTGAGCCTTTAATATCCTTATCAGGTCTGTCTAGACACCCTGACAGCAATTGTCCCTAGTAATGTCAAAATGCACCCTGACCCTTCTTCTCATCCTCCAGCTCAGCTAGAAACATTTCAAGGGGACAAACGCAAGAGCCAATTAGCTTCACAGTCCACAGGGCACACCTGTGTCTAGCTGACCTGGACACCTCTGTACAGAAGACAGACTCTTTGATGCGAGGGGTGAGCCAGAAGATTTAAGCAAACAGGAAACTAGTTTCAACGTTAATTCTTTCTCTCTCTCTTCCATTCTTTTATTTTTTTAAAGGCCTGGATAAAACCTAGCTTCCACAGCTCACCCAAAGAACAGAGCTGAGAAAATTAAAAGAAAATAAGATACTTAAACAACCTAGTATATATCCAGCTCTGTAAACAGGAGACACAAGGGGTGTCATGTAATGTATGTATGTATGCGTGTATGTATGTATGCATGGTGTAGTGCACAGCTCCTAGCCTCCAACCTTGTTTACAGATCCGGTCTCGCTCCTCATCTGCACAAAAGCAAAAAGCAGTGAACTTCACATTATTAGAACGCCACAATGATTATTTAAGATAGAGTCTATTTTACCAAATGCAAGTAATAATTTAGCTTTCAGGAGCAAATAAGTCATTGCAGTTTGAAAGAAACAACCCCCCCCGCGCAAAAAAAACCAAACAAACCATATTTATGTCCTACATGCAAACAAAAAACCACACAAAACCAAAAGAACTGGAGAGAAAAGCAGAGAATTTTATCCTCACGATGCAGGATAATAAAAGATGTAATAAACCAGAACTAGCTTAGCCCTAGAGCTAGGAAGGATTTACAAAGATTGTTTAATTGATTTTTCTTCTATTAAAATGCAGATCACACCGTCTGGGATTCAGAAACTCAGACACATGTCTTTGTGTCCACTCAGCTCCATGAAGTCCCCTGTCTGAAACTTGCACAATGCCCAACTTGCACGTGTTCAAAAGACATGCTGTTCCTTTTTGTCTGGGCCTCTCGGCACTGGAACAGAGTTGGGAAAAGGCAAATCCCTCCCTCGCTGCTTGAAAGTTCAGTTTTCTGGGATTCTGAGGCAGAATCTGCCAAAACCAGTGGCAGAAATTCTACCAAAAAAAGAAACTGAAGTTCAATATTCTCAGACAACCTGTCACGAGATTCTTTGGCAATATTCTCCATTCCTTCACCTACTGCAAGCAACCGTGGCTTAAGGCTAAGAGAATTCTCTTAAAATCTTCTCTCGATGCAGATCAGATTTGACTCGCTCTTCTAAAGAAAAGAAAAGTCACCAACTCCATTGTCTCCGCCACCCCGGAGACACGCTGGCCCCTTTATATAACCTTCCTTGTCCACAGAAGAAGTGGTTTGCCAGGGATAACTGCCCTCATGCCAGCGAGAGGTGGGCAGGAGCAGCCGGACCCACCACCTAATAGCAGATGATAGTCGCTGCAGATGCACGCACACGTGCGCACACTTTTCCTGACCTCAGGTTGAACAAACCCCATCTCCGAAGTTCACACAGCCCCAAAGAGCCCACGGTGCCGGAGGTTCAGTCCGCTTGTAAAAGTCACAGCATTAGACAGCTGGCTAGCCCCTGTCAGTTGACTGGAATGGATTCTACTTTGGGATTTAATTTACCAGTGTTCTACAGAATATATTAAACCCTGAGCTCTGAGGGGGATGGAGGCTGGCTGGGGAGAAAAATACGTCTATTTTCCTGGGCAACTGTACGGAGATGTACCCCGACCTTAGCGCAGCTCTTGCAAGCGGACGCTGAAGCAGGGTGCTGCAGGGAAAGCAGGACTCCTCCGTTCACAGAAGCGCTGACAGAGCCTGACTTCTTGCTGGCATCTAGCGCACGTCCTTTAAGACCACACACCAAGGCACACGTATGACCACGCACGCAGGCAGAGCACGAAGGGCGTAAGCTTCCTATGTAATGATTTGCTCAAGTAGTAACACCGCTTTGTAAACGCTCCCCACAGGAACACTGAATCCTACTCACATTTCAGAGGTAAGCAGGGGTTAAGTGACATGCCCATGGCCTTTACTAATGGCAGAGCTGGGACACGACCTCATGAGTTCCATGCACTAAAAGCTACACAGATCTGGGCAAGGGAGGAGGGTCTCCGGTGTTTAAATCCCCCAAGCCCCCTTCCCCCAATATGCTGCAATTTTCAGGTCAGCGGCAGGGGTAAGGAAGGGAAGCAACAGTTGAAAGGATGGTATTCGAGGAGTCATTCTGTGAATCCCTCATTCTGCTTAACTATGGGTCTGCAGTGGGGCAAAATCCCACTTCCCCAGGGAAGGCTGGGTTTTGACAGAAATCAAACACGCCGTCTGGTGATCACAGCGCCTGGGGCCCACACGCCATGGCCGATATACTGGGAGCACCGTTTGGCAAAGGACATACCATACAGTCACAAACTCCAGGTTTGCAAGCGAGGGGTTATGACAGAAACACACCGAGGGTTTGAGTGGTGTGGTTACCTGAACTGCAATCCAGCTGGCATTAACCGCGTGTTCTCCAAATGGACCAAACCCTGAAACAACAACAGGAACGACACAGTGAGCACACGATTTCTTCTGACCCCTAACCACTATGAAACTATGAGACTCTCGCAGGCTTGGCCAGACTTCGAGGTACAAAGTGGCTTGAACTTTCCTGTTTTAAACATGTCTCGGGGCGGGGAGTGGGGGGGCTTGCTTATGCACGCTACAGCGTCCTCCTCCAGTCCCAAGTTCTGGATCACTTATATCCGAGTAACAGGTCAAAACTGTGCCATCTTCCAAAACGTGGGGCTGGCGGGAAGCACGTCCGGACTGAACACAGGCAACAGGTCATCTCAGGCGCTGCTCTTCCCCTTGAGGAGCGTGTCCCTCCCCCCATCCCGGGATGGTTTTGGCTCCCGTTACAGAACAGCCTCGTTACGGGACTGGATCCCACCCCACAAACGTACCCGCCTGCCAGCAACCTCCTCGCCAAAGCTGCCCTGCGACTCCTGTCGCTGGAGTTAGGCTTTAACGGGGAAGAGGAGAACGCGAACGGCGAGGACGGTGCTGCAGAGCGGACTTGCCCCCTTCGCCTGCTTTCTAATGAATAACTCGGGGTTAACGAGTAACTCATAACCCCTCGGGCTGAGCCCGCACGCAAAGGTTAAGCAATTCATCTGTGTGCAAAGTTGCATCGACAGACTTTGATTTGAACTTTCACACACGCACACGTCTCCGTTAACGTACGAGGATCTCTGGGGTACGAGGAGCTGTCCTATTAGGGGCGACTTTCTCCAAGCTGCGTCCTGTCTGGTGGGATACGGCCGGGGACGGGGCTGATCCTACCAGGGCTCCACGGGATTTTGAGTCCAGTCAAACTTTCATGTCACCCCGTCCCCATGCGCAGGCGACCCGGCTGCTGGAGGCCACGGGCTGCAGGTGAAGGGGAAGCAAAGCATCCCGACAGGGCGTGGGGACCCCTCAACCGGGGCCGCCATAAACGTGCCGTCCCCTTCTCGTGCGGGGTCCCAGTGCCAGCGACGTCCTCGTCCCGCACAGAGCCGGTTCTGACCCCGGCAAAGCACAGCGGTCACCTCCTGCCCTGGGGCCCACTGCCCGCAGTGCCCTGGGCCGCGCCCCTCGAGCCGACACCTGCCACGGCTCCCGGCGCTGGCAGGGAGCCTGCGGCCTGCCCGAGGAAGGGACCGAGCGCCCGCACAGCCCGCACATGCATTCATACAGCCTGCACACGTGTGCACACGCCATATACACGCCTGCACACCGCCACGCACACACACATACCCCGTGCACTTGCATGCAAACCCCCATGCACACACATGCATACCCCCGTGCACTCCCCCGTTCCCACCCCGCAGCCTCTCTGGGACTTTCCCGAAGTTGCCGATCTCAGGGGTCCCTTGCCAGCGGCGCCACCCACCCCCTCGGCCACTCACCCGTCACCACCACCGGCCGCCGCCGCTTCTCCATCGCG